GGATTGCTCGTGTCATTGAGCTACCTCACTTGCGGGTAGGTTCTTGCGGTGTCCAATCGTGTGGACGAGGTTTGTGCAACACCTCTTAGCCACCAAACCACCAAGTGTTGGTCGACACAACGGGGACGTAGCGTGTTGGCAAGCACGTGAACCTCAGGAGAAAATCGGTTGTCTTTTGCCATTTGGTATTCTCTCGGTGATTGGTTTAATATTCATCTTGTGATTGGTTCACTTCTCTACACGTTGGTATAATCATCCTACTCACTCATTTATATTCTTGCAAACTAGTTGTGGCAAGCTGTTTAGTGTAATTAGAATTGAGAGCTTGCTTTGCTATTTAAGTTCATCTAGTGGAGCTCTTTAGAGTAGCAAGATTGAGAGCTCTTAGTGAGTAGTAACATTGCAAGTTGTGTGCCTAGTAATCATTGCAACTAGAATTGTTGGATAGGTGGCTTGCAACCCTTGTAGAGCTAGAGCAAGTTTGCATTTCGCTATTCGTCATACTAATCAAATTGCTCTAGTTGATTTATAGATTTTTAAATAGGCTATTCACCCCCCTCCCTCTAGCCATATTAGGACCTTTCAACCACCCTATGCTCTGCTCCCTTGACGGCGAACCCCGGAGGTTGCATGACGAAGACCGTCTCCGCCAGCTCGCCATTGAGGAAGGTCGATTTTACGTCCAGGTCATGGATGCGCCAGTCCTTCGCTGCTGCCAAAGCCAGTAGCAGTCGGATAGACTCCATGCGTGCTACCGGCGCAAAGACTTCCTCGAAGTCGATGCCCTCGCGCTGGACAAAGCCTCGGGCGACGAGGCACGCCTTGTGCTTGATAATGGCGCGGCGCTCGTCCCGCTTGACCTTGTACACCCACTTCAGGCCGATCGGACGGCATCCTGTAGGTGGATCGACGAGCTCCCAAGTCTTATTTTCCTCGATCTCCTTCATCTCCTCCAGCATCACGCGTTGCTAATTTGCATCGCACTCGGTCAGCGCGAACGTGGGTGGTTCCTCTGCACTGACGAAAAGTAGCTCTAGGTCATTGAGTAGCCGACCGGCTAGGCCTGAGGACCCTGTGCCACCGACATTGTTGTCCAGCCTACGGAACCACACCTCCTCACCGTCGTGGAAAGCATCCACGAGCTCTGTGATGTCGCTTGGAGGTGAGACGAACTCGATCGGCGTCGATGGAGTCCCTTGTTCCACCGGAGTGGTCGGCACAGCACCCGGAGTTAATCAATAACTTGCCAAAACACCTTGAGAGTTTAGAACTAAAACACTTGATGGGAAATGAAGCCTTACTTGACGACGTGGATACGTAGACTAGTACGTTAGTCATTAAAGCTAGCTCGTAGCTTGCGGAGCGTAATCGTATTTTAGAGTTGCAGTTGTCGCTGATTATTTACGTCTCTGCGTTGCACCCATGTATATCATAATAGGAACAACGATGGATCATGGAGTCGACTAAAGTAGCGGAAAAGATGGTGCCTTGATGATCGTGCCACCATAATGGAATGCTAACTTTTGGTTATATCTTACCTAGACAAGCCCTGGTGCATAACCCCTATTATTCTGCACTTTATCTGATGCTTGTGCATTAAGTTTTAAGGAGTTGAATGAAAACCATTTGCATATATATATATATATATATATATATATATACTTATCCTATGAGTCCTACTAGTATATAAGGATCGTGTAGATTGCTATACTATAGGATTCGATAGAAGTCGAGTGATTATCTGTCACTCACGAGAGATAAGAAAGATACTATTGTTGTTATTATATTACTATCACATGGAATATATATGGATGATAATTGGAGACCGGGCGGAATGGTACTTTGGATCTGGACTTGGTTAGGCATTCGAGCGAGGCTCGGATTACATTTGTTCCGCTTGTGTCGATTGAGGACCGTCCGTTGCTGTGGATGGTAGTCAGGTCACAGACTTATTATCCTAAGCACATACTTGCTTATGGGAGCGGGAAGGCTCATTACGCTCTTGTTGTGGGTTCCGGCTCTTTCTGGACCGACTGATTGGAGGCGGGGAAACGTGGAGGTCTAAGCACCATACTGAGACCGGGTCTCAAGTGTGGGGGCTTAGAGTCCAAGTTTGGACGAGGATCTGGACCCCTTGACAAGAGTGGAATGGGTTGGTCTCATTTGTGCCTAGGGTACAAATGGAGCATGTGTTTTAGGGTACCCAGCTATGATATATTGGTTCGCGAATCGCTGTTTTCGTGAGACAGGACGACTTGGCTATGATCTAGCAGCGTAGTAAGAACTAGAATATAAAAGATGGTAAAATGGTTCTGATTGCTCACCACCTGCTTGAAAGTAGCATATGTGCTTACATAGAATGGTTAGTTAATGAACTAATGATGACTGCTAATAAAATTAACTATAAGGACGCACGTTTAGTAATGCTTCCTGCAGATGGAATAACCCACAAGCTAGATAGCCTTGCATATCCTTGAAGTTTTTTATTTTTCTCCTATCGGGTAAGTCTTGCTGAGTACAATCGAGTACTCAGGTTTTTATTCCCCTGTTGCAAGTGATCAGAGGATACTTAGAGCTGACTCTTGTATGTGGAAACCTCCTGGTGAGCTCAGAGAGGATTCTTTCTCGCTACGACCGTAGTATTTATTTATAACCCTCACTAAAGTTTTTTATAAGAAAAGATGTAAAATTTACTAGCGTCTTTTGTATATAAATATCCACTACGTTAATGCTCCACCATGTCATTAAATTAATCTTTGTTTCCTCTGTAACTCCGATAACCTTGTTATATCCCGCTGTTATAATCAATTGAGGTAATATTCTGTTACGGTAATAAAGTGATGTAAGAAGTGGCTTAAGAATGTTGTAAGCTTTATTCTCTCATTTATGATCCTGATGGAAAAATATGGATTTTTGAGTTCTCCCTTGGGGTGTGCTCGACGAAACTGCGTAGTTTAGTGTCATCTTCTGAGTACTTAGTGTCTAATAGAAGACAAGTACTCCTAAAAAGCATTAGATTAGACGGTTCTGCCACATCATCCTCATAATCATGTGAACCCACAACTGGTGAAATCCCAGCCGCACCGTGATCTTCTGCAAATAATCCCACTCCAGCCTGTCATATGCTTTCCTCATGTCGAGTTTCAAAGCACAACATCTGCTATCCCTTGCTCTCTTCTTCTTTATAAAGTGCAAGCACTCGTAGGCTGTAATTATATTATATGTAATTAGCCGCCTGGAACAAAGGCCGACTGCTCCTCAGATATTACCTCTGGAAGGATACCCCTCAACCTATTAGCCACCGTCTTCGATGCAATTTTGTAAAGCACATTGTATAGGCTGATCGGTCTAAATTGACCAAGTTCCTCCGGATTCTCCACTTTTGGGATCAAAACAATGCTTGTGTTGTTGATAATAGAGAGGTCATCTTCTCCTCGCAACACTCGCAAGACAATAGACGTTACCTCCTCCCCGCACAGCTCCCAGTGACGCTGAAAAAATGTGCCGGATATCCGTCCGGTCCGAGAGCTTTGTCCGGAAACATCTGGAACAAAGCTATGGATACACATGCATAAAAAAAAGGTCTTAGGACGTGTTTGTTTTCCGGCTTCGCCTATAGGCCATGCCTGGCGGGTGCAGTAGGGCCGGTTTGTTTTCCTAGAGACCGGTAGGGACCGGCCCCGAAAAAAAAAAGATTTCGTTTCTCCCAGACTTAGGCTGGCGCCATGCTCTCCTAGGCCATTTTCGCCTGGGCTTTAAAGCTTCCCTGATTGGCCGTGTTTCTATAAGCCTTAATCCTAGGTAGTCCTTTACTAATATGTGTTGTACTCTCGTGCCTCGTCATCAATCTACAAGTTTAGCCTGACATTTTGCTTTTCCACAGCCAATGGCTTGGAAAAACTTGTTTTATTCTATGCCAGCACCTCTTCTACAGCGTGTCACAAAACATCATTTTTCCCTTTCGTAGTATTTGAATTATGTATATAACATTACTAGTTCTAGAGAGAATTTCATTACAAATATTGATTATTATTTTAGATATGTTATAATGCATTAATGAGTTCGTAACTCCCTGGTAAATTTTAAAAAGTAGCATAATGTGTATATTTAATTTAGATGATATTAACCATTCAAATGCTAGAGTTCATCAATAAAAATGAAAACGTGGATTATCATCTAATTTAGATAAATTAAAAATTCAAACCTAAATAATTTAAAATGTATCAACAGTTACTCATAGATTTCCAATAAACTTATAGTCAACAACAACATCAATTTCTGTTCTTGGGGTTTTCCAGCGTCTTAAAACATAAGAAAAGACAATATCTAAAAAGAGATATGACATATTACTTTACAAGAATATATTATTATTATTTATATATCTTGAACCAACCATCACGAACGGTAAAGTGAGTATATTTAGTTAAATAAAGATTAGTTTAGTAACCTGGACCAATGCCAAGTTATTTTTTTTTTGACATTGGTTCATCCCTCAATTGAGGACCTTCTTCCTTATCACCAAAGGCCATCGGCCAACAGTATGGATACAAGAGCTAATTACTAGCTAGCTAAAATTATCCCTAGTACATCAGACAAGAGGGCTAATAGATGTGCTAATTTTTTAGCCAAGTCTAAAACTCAGCTAATTTTTTGTTTAACTAGTAACTAGCCATAGCTCATTCAAACATACTCTCAGATCAGTAATAATCATCTCCAAGTTCATGACGACCTTTCATATGTTCCAAAAGAGGAACAATCCAGATAGTTGGAGACACAAAACACACATGCGATACAATGGGCTTCAGTGGTGGACCTAGTCTGGGCCATAGCGCTGTGGATAGGGCCGGTGCACCCGTTCAGGTTCTAGGCGCAGCTTCCTCCTGAGTTTCAGCAGAGCACGCCATCTTCCCGTCTGAAATTCAGGTTCTAGGCGCAACTTCTAATAAGTTTCAGCAGAGCACACCATCTTCCCGCCTGAAGTCTTCATCGTCGCTTCAACATCATCGGAGGTAACAGCCAGGGACGTAGAGCCTAAAGGTAGAATTATACACAGTATGTTATTATAAACCAAAAATGTCCGATCTGGTTGTATAAACATGCAATCTGGAAAAATTGTACATACCTGTGTGGGGGTTGCTTGGGGATCAAACCGATTTCTTCAGCACACATACTCATAGTACGTCCTTGGTTTCCAAAACTGAAAATGAAAAGCTGCCATATCAGCAAAGTAAAGTAAATTTGAGTGTGCATTGAAAGCTAGAGCAGAGGTACATCTATCATCTCAGAAAGAAAAAGAAGCCACTGACGTTTTCTACAATGGTGTCCATGACCAACTGATGAACATCACCATCTTGAGACTACAACAAGCAAAAACAAGTTGATGTGGAGAAACATTCCCATTAGACCTTGGTCTCATGTAAGAAGGTTACCTTTTTAACAATGCGATCCAAATGGGGTTTATACTGGACAAGAAGATATAAAACAATTAAACACAGATGATAAAATAGTTTTTTTTGGGGGGGTGGGGTGCAGAACCAAAAGGCTAGAGAAATTGAAGTAACATAACATGTGTGGAGAAAGGCAACTTACAAGCCGTTCCATTGGAAATAGATTCGGTTCGAACTGAGTTCCCCATAGAAACATGGACTGATACATGTCTTCATTGTACACGAATCTCAAAGCATCTGTGAAATTCATCTAAGCAATGTTGAAAGCAAAGAAATGTCTCTGTCAGCAAGCATATAAAGCTTGAACAAATAGAGGGGAAAACACAACATCCCTGGTTTGGCGGTTTAGCATATTCAGGCAAGAATGAAACCTGTTTCCTAGCAAGCAGCTCCCACATCTTAGTAAGGAAACCAGCATAAGCATAATCATCCTCCACACCCCACACAAATTCCTTAATAAAAAATAAAATATCAAACATCGTCATAATTTGCAATGCCAACTAAATTAACATGCGATGGCAGGGCATTACATAGAATCTTGCGACAATTGTAGTGTTGTAAACAGAGGGAAATTATTCTGCGATCTTCAATGCATGATACAAGAGCAGATTCTCAATTCTTTGACGCTAAACAACAAAGCAGCTTTTAGAATGTAAGTTGCAAGAGTAAAGAACCAAATGCATTCAGTGAAACCTTTAACCATGAGACTTTTGGTGAATATTTACCTTCCCTGACCTCTCTGTTATGTACAATCCAATCAACTGCGTGAGAAAAGAAGGCAAATCAGAACACTGATCACATATGAACAGTAGTGTACAAAGATCACATTACGCACACCTTAGTTTTTCTTGATAACTTCTCCCAGAAATGGATAAATTGTTGGTCATCTGTAAGCTTATTACGAGTGTAGGGGCAAATTCCCAAGCCTTCGAACTCTACCTGCACAATGAAAACATTATCTGTAGCACATTCATTGCTAGCAACAGTATTCATGCATAGACCACTATAACCAGTGCTATACTATCCTTGCAGAAATTCTATAGCGGCAGTCGATGACATCATCTGTCTCCTAAAAGTCTCACATAGGTCACCTTTAGCAACTATGGGATAAGTTTATCATCCTTGTGGAGGTTTAAAGTTTAAAATGATGTATTATGTGGCACTTTGCTATGTTAAACGTTTGCGGATTGGTTTCTTGGCGCCAGCTGGATGAACCCTATGTGTTCATTCCAAAGTGGCTTCTTGCTAGGCTCGTTTTATGTTTCGGTTGCATCAAACTCATGTAATTTTGTTGCTGTCAAGTAATGAAATTCGGCTATGCCGTTGTGGAAAAAAATTATGTGGCACTTGCAAGGGCTGTTGTCTATTTGCATTTGCATGGTTTGTAAACAAAGTAGGCACGGTGCAAACTGCAAACAATTCAGAAACAGTAGGGCAGTGGCAGAGCTAGGACGGGTGCCTTGTGCCCACAGGTACACCCAAACTTTGCGTTTGTCATTATGCATCACCTAATTGCATGTAAGCTAAATCCTGCATGCTAAAGAATTCTTGGCCATAGGTGTGCACCTGAATGTAGTGATTTCACTACTTATCTGCCCATAAAGTTCTATATATCATCGATCTGGCCACAAAGCTCACATGGCCATGTACATGACAGGACGAGCTCTCCACCATCTGTATTAAAGATATCCTGTCCATTATTGCATTTCTCTCAATAGAGAGTAAAGAACTCGTTTTGATGACATGGTTGATAGCTTTCTGTTTGTATTTCAAGCATACTAGCAGCTTATTTCCATTGTATGTGATGTTATCACGCTGCAGTAGAGGCGTCGTGCAAAGTGAAAAGGAGGGGAAACGCATAGTTAGGCATCAGAGGGGGCAACCATGCGATTATATCAACAGGGCTCTGCCTTTATTGTAGGAGAACAAGAGATCCACCACAACATACAATGTGGCCATGTGGGCTTAGCAGCAATTTTTTGTTGTACTCACTCCGATTTCAAGCATAAGTTGTTTTACCTTTGTGCACAACGCACAAGGACTGGACTGCATTCTTTCTTGCAAAGTGACACATTCCAAACTCCAAACGAACAATGGGATTTGAGTACCTAGTGGTCTATACAAGGTGTGAAACCTTCCTAGCATATGACCTCATCATCTCTCAGCTTCAGAATGACAGGTCGAGATAATGTAACAGTCAAAACAGAATACAACTCATGCTAAGGAATATGTTAGACAATCTACTGCTACCTTGTGTGAACATAGCAAGGGAATGCGACGCCGAAAATGCCCCCTGCTGTGATACTGTAGCCGCTGTAGGTGCAGGCGCCGCACGGCTCACCTGCAGCACTGTAGGCACATGCAGTGGCCGACGCAGAATCAGCCCTGTATGTTATCTAGTTACTGTTACAGTATGTGCGCTGTACTAGAACTACATGGATAGAGTTGTATAAATAGACTGCCACGACAACTCAGTAAAGAGAGTTCAGATTTGCCATCTCACAGACAGGGCTTCGGCCAACGCTGGTGTCTTGTATTGTGTGTGCTTGCTCTGTTATCCCGTCTTCTTCCAGCTCTAGCTATAGTGTGTGGGGACGGACAACGCTTGTTCGTGGTCGGCACGGCTAGTGGGTGCTCGGCAAGACTGGTGAGTGGTTCACTCATCTGAGCCGGTGATCCCGTGGACCAACAAGTGGTATCAAAGCCGTACAAGCGCCGTCGCCAGACTAACCGCTGGCGATGACGGACGGTTCGGAGATGGGCGACAGCAGTGGCACTGCTGTGGCTGTCCAGTCACGACCGGAGGTCGTTCGCACGGTGCGGGAGGTTAGTGGCACCAGTTGGCCGATGCCGACTCGCACCAACTATGGAGAGCGGTTGGTGACCACGAAGGTCAAGCTCAGAGCCCGACGGCTCTAGAATGCTGTTGACAAGGGCACCGACAATGAAGAAGATGACATGTCAGCGTTGGAGGCTATCCTCGCTGCTGTACCGACGGAGTACCGGAAGCCGTTGGGGGCGAAGAGCTCGGCTAAGGAGGCGTGGGAGGCTATTGCGGCGATGCGCATCGGTTTTGACCGCGCAAAGAAGGTCGTCCAGCTTCTGAAGCAGGAGTACGCTAACCTCAAGTTCAAGGATGGTACCCTCCACCTGCAGACGCTCATCAGCAAGCTGAAGAGCCATGGCGTCACCATCGACGAAGAGGAGGCGGTCTCCAAGTACCTCCACTTCGTGCCGGCAAAGTACATCCAGATCGCTCTCTCCATAGAGACGATGCTGGACCTGTCCACCCTCACCATTGAGGATTTGGCAGGCCGTCTACGGGCGGTGGACGAGCACCTGGAGCAGGCGACAACAACGAAGGACAGCGGGAAACTCCTGCTGACAGAAGAGGAGTGGGCTGCTTGGAGGAACTCCGAGAAGGCAACCTCCTCCAGCCACGGTGGCGAGGGCAAGCGCCGCGGCAAGACTTCTTTGGAGAAGAAGCAGGTCGACCCCAACGCCTGCCGGCGTTGCGAGAAGATGGGCCATTGGGCATGGGAGTGCCCAAACAGCAAGCGGGAAAAGAAGGCTCAGGCTCATCTGGCGCGAGTCGATGATGAGGTTGAGGCCACTATCCTGATGGCGACGTTCTGTGCATTGCACGACGTCGAGGCCGAGGAGAAGGAAGAGGTGACGATGGTGGAAGGACCTGGCAAGGCCCTGAAAACTGTCAACCTCGACGAACCACGTGCCCAAGTCCACCTCGGACGTGTGGGCGCCGACGAGGAGCAGCGGTGGTATCTGGACTCTAGTGCCAGCAACCACATGACGGGCTCCAAGGCATCCTTCTCCGAGCTCGACAGCAATGTTACCGGTACGAGTTTGGTGATGGCTCAAGGACGCGGCACCATTATCTTCAGGTGCCAGAACGAGGAGCACCACGTGCTAACGGATGTATATTACATCATGCAGCTATGTTCCAGCATCATCAGCATTGGTCAGCTGGATGAGCGCGGTAGCGAGGTACTGATCAAGGACGGCGTCCTTAGGATCAAGGACCGAGAGCAGCGACTTCTTGCCAAGGTGAAGAGGTCCCTGAACCGGTTGTACCTGCTCAACCTGAAGGTAGAGCAGCCGGTGTGCCTGGCGGCAAGGCACTCCGAGGAACCGTGGATGTGGCATGCCTGGTTCGGACATCTTAGATTTGACGCACTTGGTCGGCTGGAGAAGATGGTCCAAGGGCTACCCCACATCAAGCACAGAGGCGAGCTGTGTGACAACTGCTGGCCGGGAAGCAGAGGAGGCTACCTTTCCCAAAGGCGGCCAAGTATCGCGTGAAGGACGCTCTCGAGCTCGTTCACGACGACCTCTATGGGCCGATCACGCCTGCTACAAACGGTGGTCAGCGGTACTTCCTCCTGCTCATGGATGATTGCAGTCGCTACATGTGGCTGCAACTCCTGACGAGCAAGGACGAAGCGACAGCGGCGATCAAGAAGTTCAAGACGCGCGCGAAGGCCGATAGCGGCAAGAAGCTCCGTGTGTTGATGACTGATCACGGCGGTGAATTCACTTCGATGGAGTTCGCTGCATACTGCGCGGATTAGGGTGTGGTGCAACACCACACCGCGCCGTACTCGCGACAACAGAATGGCGTGGTGGAGCAATGGAACCAGACGGTGGTCGGCATGGCCCGATCCATGATGAAGGCCAAAGGCATGCCGACAAGGTTCTGGGGTGAGGTAGTGACCACGGCGGTGTTCATCCTCAACCGCGCTCCAACCAAGGCCCTAACGGGCAAGACGTCGTTCGAAGCTTGGCATGGGCGTAAGCCGAGCGTGTCCTTTCTCCGGACATTCGGCTGCATTGGCCACGTCAGGAAGACAAAGTCGAACCTCACCAAGCTAGAGGACAGGAGCACACCCATGGTGTTCCTGGGCTACGCGGAGGGTACCAAGGCGTACCGGCTTTACGACCCACACAGAGACAAGGTGCTTGTTTCGCGCGATGTCGTGTTCGACGAGGAGGTGGCTTGGGACTGGAGCAGTCCGAGCATGGGGGAAGCTAGCAGCTTCACCAGCACCTTCGTCGTTGAACACTTGATCATCCACGGTGGTGGACGCTGGGAAAGAGGTGCCGAGCACTTCGGGAGGAGTGCCGAGCACTCCGGCGGTAGAATCGAGCACTCATGGGGGAGTGTCGAGCACTTCGGGAGGGATGCCGAGCACTCAGGGAAGAGTGTCGAGCACTCCTGGAGGGATGCCGAGCACGTCAAGAGTGGTGTCGAGAGGTTCTACAGTGGTGGCGACCACTCCAGGACGGGTGCCAAGCACTCCCGTAGCGGAGCCAAGACGTCTTGCAGTGGTACCGACCACTCCAGGACTGAGGCTAGGCACTCCTATAGTATGGCCGAACACTGCAGGAGTTATGACAAGTTGTCCAAAAGTAGTGCCGAGTACTCTAGGTGCTATGCCAAGCACTCCAGCAGAACAGGGAACTCCATCGACGTCGATCGAGTTCGCCTCACCTTCAAGTGACATCACTAAGTTCGTGGATGCCTACCACGAAGGTGAGGAGGTGCGGTTCCGCATATTGGACAACATCGTCGACCGCATAGGTCCCTTAGGTCTGGCGGGCAGGCTGCTCAACGACGTAGAGCTACTACTCGTCAGTGTAGAGGAACCACCCACGTTCGCGCTAGCCGAGCGCGATGGAAACTGGCGACAGGCGATGCTGGAGGAGATGAAGGCGATCGAAGAAAACAAGACTTGGCAGCTCGTCGATCCACCTTTAGGATGTCGTCCGATCAGCCTGAAGTGGGTGTACAAGGTCAAGCGGGACGAGCTCGGTGTCATTGTCAAACACAAGGCGCGCCTCGTCGCCTGAGGCTTTGTTCAACGCGAGGACATAAACTTCGAGGAGGTCTTTGCGCTAGTAGCACGCATGGAGTCGGTCCATTTGCTACTAGCCTTGGCAGTAGCAAAGGACTGGCACGTCCATCACTTGGACGTTAAATCGGCCTTCCTCAACGATGAGCTGGCGGAGACGGATTTCGTCAGGCAACCTCCAGGTTTTGCCGTCAAGGGAGAAGAGCACAGGGTGCTCTGACTGCGCAAGACGCTCTACGGGCTATGGCAGGCCCCTCGAGCATGGAATGCCAAGCTTGACACCACGCTGGGCGAGCTTGGGTTTCAACGATACACAACCGAGCACGCGCTCTACACGCGTCGACGGGGAAGGAGGAACTCGTCGTCGGCGTGTATGTGGTTGATTTAATCATCACCGGTGCGCGCACGGAGGACATCAATAGCTTCAAACATGAGATGTCGGCTTGTTTCCGAATGAGCAATCTCGGCGCACTCTCCTACTACCTCGGTATCGAGGTGAGACAGAGGAAGGAGGAACTCACGCTCGGTCAGAGCGCGTATGCCTCCAAGCTGTTAGAGAGGAGCGGCATGGCTGAGTGCAAACCATGCGTGACTCCGATGGAGGAGTGGCTGAAGCTGACGAAGGCCAGCACCATGGCGAAGGTGGATGCAACACTCTACCAGAGCATCGTCGGTGGTCTGCGCTACCTAGTCCACACGAGGCTGGACATTGCGTTCGCCGTGGGCTACGTCAGTTGCTTCATGGAGGATCCTAGAGAGGATCACTGGGCTGCGGTGAAGCGGCTACAGTGCTATGTCAAGGGAACGGTGGATCAAGGGATCATTTTC